GGTGGACTTCTGTCAGACAGAGGCCAGACTGGTCTACATAGTGAGTTCCAGGCCAGTTGGGGCTACAAAGAGCTCCCCCCAAGAGGGTGGGATTACGTTAAGCAGAATTGGTCCTAAATTATAAAATAACATTAATTGCTCTTATATGTATCTTGTCTTTATTCTCGTCATTCTTTGCAGATGATAAAGTACTATTTTAAGTTGGCAAATCCCTTTAACTTCTTGTATATAAATATAGATGGAGCAACTTCTGTGCATATTCCCAAGACAAGATGTATAGTAATGTACACATTCTGGAGTATCATACCTTAGTAGAATGAGGTTTATTTTAACCATAGAGTAAATAGTGCACTCAGAATAATTTATAAAAGCTTTAAAAATTATTCATGTCATAATTTACTGATGTGTGTATATAGTTTATATTATTCCATTGCTAACAGGGAAACAATGAACGAAATTAAAAGCCTAAATCTTGATATATGTTATTGCTATTTCTGTCAACTGGGACTCAACTGTGATGTTAGTTCAGGTCAATTTATAAAGGAATCCAAAACCACATATCTCAACAGCAATTCAGGGTGTTCCTTTTTCAACCCTCAAGTCCTATTCCAAACGTCTTGGCATGAAGATCACCTGTGATATGATCTCTACCTCACAATTAGTTTGGAAACTAAAACGTAATTTAACTCTTTTTTGTTTGTTTGTTTTGGTCAGCTTTTCTAGACTCTAAGATTTTAGTTTAATTAGTCCAAAGAATCTTCTAAAAATAGAGGCTTAATATAAGACATCACAGGTACTCAGAAAACCATAATTTTCAACAGAATCCCCTTATGAGTCATCTACATATACGTTTGAGTTCCCAAATGCAGTAGCAGTAAAATTTTCAGTGCTATGTGTTATAAGATAATGCAACATGTTTTTATTTTGTAGTTGAGGTGCTTTTCTAAATTCCTCCTATGACCTATGAACATAAACATCCCTATCTTTCTGATGATGCCAATTCTGTCTTATGTTTTTTCAAACAAAAAACACTGGCATATTAGAGAACAAAAATGATCCAGGACCCATCTGCCCTATCCTCCAGGACAAGGTATACAGGAAAGAAGTGACACCCAGATGACAAGATGGTTAGACAGCCTGCCACTCATATTGCAGTGAATAGCTGAGCTCTCAGTAAAGAGTAGACTAATAGATTCTGGGCTCAACAATACTGAAGAATCCAGGCCCACAGCCAGCCAGGCAAGCAGCTATGAGCTGGGGCAGCAGTTCCTAGTTAATGCATATCTGTAATGGGATAAAGGTCTAGCGAACATGAAGACTGGCACACGAAGAGCTGGCCAAGCAGTTTCAAACAGTTCTTCAACCTTTGGGGTAAGGGATCAGGATAAATGGTCTGCAAAAAGATTGAGTCTCCTAGGAAGTAAAGGAGAGTTGTTGACTTGTGATTCTAGTACATAGGAATAATTCCTGCAGCCCTATGCTTATCTTATGCTGTCATCTCCACCACTATTACAATCACTTAAGAAATAAAGTGTTCCTGAGTTTGAAAGGATGAGTCATTCCATTAGCAAGCATCCTTGTTATGTGCTAGGACCGAAGACGTGTACTAGCAGAATAGACTTTCTTCACGGCTTGTCTCTCTAGTTCCTGCTTCAGTACCTAGACATAAATACAGGAAAGAAGTGATGCCGGATGACAAGATGGTTAGACATCCTGTCGCTCATATTGCAGTGAATAGCAGAGCTCTCAGTAGAGCAGACTGACAGATTCTGGGCTCCTCTAATGCTCTTTCCTCACGAAGCCTCCTTTTGGCTGTGTTATGAGAGTAAACTAGCTATGTTTTGGGAGTAAACATTAAAATAATATTTACTTCTAAAAATATTCTAAATTTCATATAATTTCTGAAGAGAATTAAATTTCTTTATATTACTTTGACATGAAAATGCAGTGTTCAGAAAATAGTTTATGGGTCTTAGAGACTGCAACATGAATAAAATTTTTATATGTGCATATATATATAAATTAGGCATGGTGGCAAGATATTGAAGTCCTGCACTGTGGAGGCCAAGGCAGGCCGAGCCCTACAGCTCACTATGCAACTAACCTAGTCCACTCAGCAAACTCTAGGCCAAATGAGATATACTGTCTCACTAAACACAGTGGATACCTCATTTGGGTTGACATCTGTCCACAGATGCACCTGTATATACACAATCAAGCACCCACACATACACAAATTGATAATCAAACTCGCATGAAAACATGCTCAATAGCACTCATTTGCAAATGACTAATCAGATATCAGTCATAAGTACTGTATAACCTCTCAGATAGTTATGTTAAAGAGATTAGAAAATAACAAGTGCTGGAACTGAACAGATGTTGAAAAAATTATAACCTTTACTTATTACTGATGAGAAGAGAATGTAAAATGATATGGCTATTGTGAAGATCCTTTCTCCCATTCCTCAGAATGCTACATATGGAGATCCTGTAGGACTGAGAAATTCTATTCTTATCAAAGAGAACTGAAACATATGATCACAGAAAACCTTACACATCTCAGTATTCATATTAACCTAAATGTAAAAACAAGACAAATTTATATTTGCTGATAAAATGTCACAGAAGTTCAATGGAATGTTATCCAATTATAGAAATGAATGGAATACCGACATGCACTTCAACAGGGCTGGCTCTTGAAGAGACTATGGTAATGGAAAGAAACCAGACACGAAACAGTGTGTGATAGAATCCATTTACATAAAATGCCCAGGCTTGGGCTAGGAGACTCCATAGATAAGACAAAGTAGATGTGACCCAGGACTGCAGCCAAGTGCAAATGGTGAGACAGTGCTTAAAACACTGGAGGTTCTTTTGCATGCTGCTGAAAATGTTCTGGTAGTAGATGGTGGTGATGGTTGCACAGTACTAAGAAGACACTGAAAAGTATGGATATTCCAATGAAATAGATTATTATTCTATTAATTATCTCTATTAAGTAAATATTGCCTTCAGATTCACAAACCCACAGTACTTACCATAAAGGAAAGAAATTGCTCATTTCAGGTGAAAAGTAGAGTTCATAAAATATGAGCAAGATGACCTCATGAGCACGTATGAATAGGTCTTCTAATCTTGTTAAAAACATATTTGGGTTACTGGAGGGATGGCTCAGCGGTTAAGAACACTTGATGTTCTTCCAGAGGAACCAAGTTTGAGTCCCAGCACCCGCATGGTGGCTACAACCATCCTTAGCTCCAGTTCCAGGGAATCCGACATTCTCTTCTGGCTTTGGCAGGTTTTACATGACATGGGTGCACTTAGATATAAACAGGCAAAACACTCAAACACATAAAATAAAAATAGTAAATTCAAAACGATTTTCTTTTTTAAAAATTTTTTATTGAATTTTGTGTATTTCATACAGAACACCTCAATCAATCTTAATCATCTTTATACCCCTGTCCCCACTGGCACCCTCCCATAACCCCCCACCCCACACTGGAGCCCATATACTCTGTCATACCTGTTAAAGCCAACTGTGTGTCACGTCAGTGTCACCAGACGTTCCCCAGTGCAACTCCATGGTCTAGTCAGTCATACCTGTTAAAGCCAACTGTGTGTCACGTCAGTGTCACCAGACATTCCCCAGTGCAAGTCCATCCACTGAGGTCTAGTCAGCCTATCTAGAGTCCCTTGTTTTAGGAAGATCAGCTCTTCTTCACCTAGCAGCAGTCAGTTGCCAATATTTCTTCAGATAAGATTGGGGTCTGCCCTTCATTTCCCCAGTTCTGTCCTGGGTTTTTGTCTGCCTGAGCTTGCATGGGAGTTGTGTATGCGGACATCATTGTCATAGAATCATATAAGCAGGTTCCCAGGCGTTTGTAGGACTCTGTTTCCATATGGTCATGCACCTCCTCAAAAACTGATTTTTAAATTGGTCTTTTTGTGAATAACAAATATTTTGTGGTAGTTCAGTATCACCGAGTCTCAGGAAAAGTCAGAAAGAATTACATTCAAATGCTAGAAAACACTTACTCATGTTCTTTTCCACAACAGAAAAATGAAAAAAAAAATGCATGTATTTTCTGCATTTTGCATTCAAGCTTTTCACTGTTATTTAAGCTTGATTGACTAGATAGCTTTTCCTTATCTGTAAACTATTGTTTCTCTCTAACTTAATTATAAAATAGATCTGAAATGGCTTAATCAGGAATCTTATTTCTATGAGAGACTCATTTTCATAGATGGTATATATTCATATCAGTATGTTTAAGTATAATAATATTTATTTGCCCCTGAAATTAATTTGATATCAACATAATGTAACTTGTTGCTACTCAAAATGAAAGGGCTCCACAGTGTTGTATTAGACTTGATCACGCAAAAGCTTATCTATTGAAGAATTCAAAGAAATGTTATTCAGATTGACCCAGACACAGGACCAGTTCAAATATATATTTTCTGATAAAAATATTAATATGGGAACAGATATTACCCACATCTTCATCAAATATGAAGCCTTCATAGATTCTATAATAGTGATGTATGAAGAATAGGTTGTAGTTTGACCAAGAATGAATATATTCTCTTTTTTCTTTTTAAACTAAGTTGATTTCAGTCACAAATGGAAAAATCATAAAGATTTATTTTCTACTTTAATGGAACAGATAAGCATTGAACTGATTCCTGAAGAATACACTAGATCCAAATACACATTGTCTTATTCTTCTTATTCTCTATGATGGCGTCAACTCCGTGCTTTGGTATGCATCTGAATGAGAGAGCGGTTTTCTAGCATGTGCATGCCCCAGAGTTCCAACCCCAGCAATCCACCAATACCTCCCCCCAATCAAGGGTTTTATATGTGGATTTTAAAATTTATATTCTGTTGGTTATAATTTACATTTTATATGTGTGTCTTCGGACTAGGCTCCAAAATCACTTTAGGGCTATGTAAATGTGTTGTGCTTTTGTCTCTCCTTTCTCCCCTGTAGATTCTACAAAGAAATTAAAGGATGTTCTTGAAGAATTCCACGGTAATGGTGTGCTTGCAAAGTATAATCCTGAAGGGGTAAAACTTCTTTTTTCTTTATCAGTTTAATAATGTACTTGGTAGGGGAATTTTCTTCACAAAAGTTCTTGAGAATATGTATACATGTGTATCTATAAATACACATATGCATATACTTTTATATATGTATGTGTATACATACATACACATACATGTATATATCTCACATACCATAAACCATTTACCACATACCATACATAAATAAAGTTTATAACAACGTGATATTCTGGGAGATTATTAAATATAGTGCATTTTTATACAACATTTCTTGATGAAAATACTCCTAGACTGTGTGCTTGAAAAACACGTCGGAGTTCTTTTTCTAGAAGTTAGGAATAAGACTACATAGAGTTAGGAAGTACACCTAAGTCTCACTCTGTGACGTGAGAATACTTATTGGTAGGAGCAGGGGAGGTACCCGTTTTAGAGAATTATTTCCTTAATCAAAGAAGAATTTTCAGATGGATATGACCAGTTAGCTTTCTTGCAGACAGCCAAAGGAGAGGAATGCTTTCCCCTATCTTGTGTTTCCTTCCTTATAAAAGCTTTGCCTGTCCCAACAATTATTTCTGAATATCATACTTTAATGAATTCCTTTGCTATTTAAGTAACCTTCCATTTAATATTATCCAAGAGATGTTATATTTTGAATGTCTGATCATCATTACCATTAGTTCATGTGTCGCTTTACCAACTGATACTTAAATGTATGAGAATAAAAATAAACAGATCTTCGCAAAAGATAACTATGTCTAAATATGCCATCCAGATAGATTTGTTTTCAGGTTAAAACATGAGTTTTTATTTCTATCATGTTGATCTTACATATTTATAAGAATACCATCCTAGTTATCATTCATTATTTTTCTTCTCTGGAATATGTAGAACTTCTTTTTCATGAATACAGTCCAATATCTAGATCATAGCATCAAAATACTCATATTGTTGTCATTTTTATCAGGATTTCATATAGTTTGCAGAGTTCATCTTATATTTAACTAATTAAGTATTTAAATACAGGAAGTCATTATGTAACTCGGGATGGACTCAAATTTGCAACACTCCTGCCTCAGACACCCAAGTGCATGTAACAGTCATGTGTTGGCACACTTGCCTTCCTGCCATCTTTTCTTACTTTTTCTACAATATGATACATAAAATATAATTAAAATTTATCTTATGCTTTACTTTATTTAGTTATTTCTAATAATGAGGAGCATATGGGAGGTTTTAATGTCATTCCTTTTTCCTACTCCAAAGGAAAAACACAAATGTGGCCTGTATTTCCCTTGCATTTTATTTCTCTAAATGTCGAGCAAGTGAGATTATCATTAATGGATGGATATATAAAACTGGAAATCTCAAAGTCCAAGCAAGCAGACTGGGGGAAGGAGAGAAGAAAATGTTACTGAATGGCTGTCAAAGTAAAAATACCGTTAATACTTACTGTTGCAGTGATACCTGAAAACACATTGTTATACACAGAGATAAAACATTTTTTCTCTCTCAAAATAGCAGCTGGCTGTCAGTTCATTTAGAATTGGGATGTAGTGCTCTTGTTTGGATTGTAGCCTTTTCCCCTCAAGGTTTCCTTCTCTAAAGAACTCCTAAGACTTGTTTGTATTAATATTTTCTTTCATGAGGACTATCTATCACTATATACTAGATTTAGTGTTGCAATTATTACATGCAATACTAGGCTCAATATAATACCACGTTTTTTCAATAATTTGCTACCTTTCCATAAATACACAAATCTATCGAGTGCATTAAGATAACAGTTCAAAAGCAGAAAGCTAGATCTCATTATGACCCAAGAACCCCTCTAAATTAAAAGCAGTTAAGAGTGGAACGACTCTCTCATCTTAATATTAAGAGAATTTTTTCCTTTAAGAGAACAATTTAAAGCTAATTTGAGTGTTTTATAAAGAAATCTGTTTTATAAAAGCCACTAGAAAGTAGAACTATTGATTGTTGACAATGAGACCACAAAAGCCTGATTTATTTCAACTATATGCCCTCATCTGATTTATTAAAAACTGCTCTAACGTTGTGAAACAAATCTAATTATTAAATCAAATATGAAGTTATCACTCTATCTTGACTGGTCAAGCAACCCCAAAGTCATTTGATGTGACTTATTACTTATAAATAATCTGTTATATCAGTAAAAATAGAAAAAAATATCCAGCCTAGTTTTAGAATGGATAATCTTTTGGTTTCCAAAATAAACATAACTTACATCACTCATATAAAATGTATTTGGAAAGAAAGAATAAAATATATGTGCTTTAAGTTTCGCTTATTCCCACAAATAAAGCTATTAAAATTTATTTCTTACCTTATAATTTGCTACAATCACTAAACTTAAAATATTATGTGCAAAACTCACCGCAAAGACAATGTGATCTATTTTAATAGAAAAGAAGTACTTAGGAAAAGATTAGGACAGAAATTTTTCCCAATCAATATCTTTAATGGAGTTCTGGTGCCTTAATCTAAATGATAGTTTTAATGTTCTCTAAAATTTAAAATCTTAAAAAACCTGTTATTCTCAAATGAATAAAAGTAAGGTTTTAAAATAAAGAAAATTATTTCCAGAGAAGTACAATGATGTTTACCAAATTAACCAAATAAGCTCTGGGAAATAATCACAATTGAAATGTCATTGTCTGGAATTCTAACTTAAGGCTGACACACTTAACCTTTCACTTTATTAACCACCCCTTGGACTAAGCAGGAAACCTTGGTAAATGGGAAGAAGAAGGGAAAGAGAACATACTGAATGCCTTTGTTTTGATAACAAGGTTTTTTATCTCAGTACATGTACCTGGCTCATTCCTGACAAGATAAAAGACTTGATCAGTCTTCCTCAAATCTTGTGTGCAAAATACGATTTTAAGAGCATGAATATGTGTAGATTATAGCAGAGATCTTGTCTTAGTGAAAATATTTTCAGTAAAGCACAGGGAGGGTATATAAATGATATAATGAAAGTAGTGGAATTTGGTATATGAGAAAATTCAGCTTGGTTTTGCATGCTTTTTTGTGTGTCTTGAATATTAAATTTGATTCCGATCTTTAAAGGCATGGAGGAAAGTTTGGTGTGATTTGCTAATATAAGAAAACATTTTAAATGAGGAATGAATAAAATTGAATATATATATATATATACTTTTTTATTACTCTCTGGAACTTTAATCATATTGTAAGAAGTATTCATTATATATGACTCATGTCAATAGAAACTGTTCACATACACTCAATGACTTGTCTAGCCAATGGCTGTCAAATTTCAGTGCATATGAGATTCTCATGGGGGCTTCTTACAGCATGTGTTACTTACTGCCTGCCTCCTCCTTGTCCTAGGTTCTCAATCAGTGTTTCTGTGGTGGAACTCATGATTTGCACTTTTGTCAGTTTCCAGGGGTATTGATACTGCTGCTTTTAAACAATGTGTTGAGACCCATAGACCCAGGGCATGTTTGAAAATCAGTCTGTAGCCTTGAAGTTTTAGTGGAAATATCAGAGCTGTGAGAAAATGAGTGTAAGTTATCTACCTTAACACATGTATTCTTTCTTTTCTTGCATGCACAGAAACAAGACATTCTTAACCAAGTAAGACATTTTCTTTTCTATTGAAATCTATCTTTTCTTCCTTTATTCTGATTTGCACTATGAATTCTTCATATCACTAAGCTATACTTAAATACCAATTAGGTTCCCAAAGTATGTTTGATCACCTATAATACTCAAAAATTTATAATTGAAGTCAGATATGATAGAAAATTTTCCCAATTAATATCTCCAATGGAGTTTTGGCACTTTAATAAGATGCAGAACTTTCATTTTGGAGACTCTAAAATTTAAATTTCCTTTAAAATTATATTACTATTTTTAAAATTTTTATGTATATGAGTGTTTCGCCTGTATGTATGTAAGTGCACCACATGCATTCAATGCTATACCAAGGCCAAAAGAGGGTGTTGGAATCTCTAGAACCAGAGTTATGGACTGTTGTTAGCCACCATGTGGGTGGGTGCTGGGAATCGAATCTGGATGCTCTGGAAAAACAGCAAGTGTTCTTAACTGCCAAGCCATCTCTCCAGTCCTGAAATTTAACTTTCTAATTTTACCCGATTTCATCAGATTTGGATAAGTTAATTTATTTAATGAAAGTCTTAGTTCATTAGCTCACTATGTGAGATTTGAACATTGAATGTAAAGTACAATAGTAAAAGTTTTGTTTTGTTTTGTCCTTAATCTTATGTTAATTCCATGGGGGAAACATAACTTAAAAGTTTATGTATCTTAATAAAATGAATGTATTATCTAAAGCAATAATACTCTATTTCTTGGGCTATACTAGAAATAGAAAAGCTGCTTGATTTCAAGAGTGATGTCATTCCCAACTTTTAAAGCAGATGATTATATCAGAATGATCTTTGTGAATTAGGACACAGGTCCTAGATAGTACAGGTCCCAAGATGAGGCACTTCTGAGATGACATCCACTCATCAGAAGGACACTTGCCAGCCTCTGCTGCAGAGGACAGCGTTTTGTTGCCTTGTCCATGACCTTTGTGGAATGTTTCCGCAAAGCTAGTATGTACTAGCTCCTCAAGTGAATGTTACAGGAGCTTTAATGATACTTTGGAGACCACTGCACAGAGGAAGGAGTTGTCTTCTGTGTTTCCCATTTCATCACTAAGTAGCATTACTGAGCATCCTTACTCAACGAACACACCTTTCTACCCCCTATACATTAAGGCTAGCTAAAAGTTAGCATTAGAATTAACCCTCGCTTTACTTTGGGTCTCCAAGATGTTTCTGTATTCTCTTGTCTGGTCAGATTTTTCTTCCATGTGCCATCATACCTCAGACATCTGATAAGTTGCAGAACAGAAAAACAGAAACATGCGAAGGCTAGAGTGTATTGAGGGTATGCATATGATGTTGCTCAGGGTGTGTCCTCTGGGTTTCTGATTGTGGGATTTTCTCTGCACGTTTCCTATCAGTAGTGGTCCTTGACTTAAGGTTCAGGTATGCTTCCATAACTCTCAGACCCTTCCTTTGTAATACTCCACACTGCAGTTTCTGCTAAAATCTAGACCTTTTACATTCAGGCTAGTGAGTTGCTTTGAGCTTTGGTTAAGAAATTTAAGAAGTCATAACCTAAACGTTTTAGTGCTGATAATTAAAGTATAATTATAATTGCCTTAAGGATAGTGATAGTGATATAATTAACAATAATATGAGCACTTTTGTTAAGGTATAATTGTTCCTCAAGAATCAATTCATTAAATTTCATTAAAAAAAACAAGAGCGAAACACAACAGGGAAGCGTGGTCTTCTAAGTGACAGACTCTAACTCAAATTCCACATATGCCACCATGGAGGACAAGCTCCTTAGGTTTGGCTTTTCGCTTAAGAAATGTGGAAGTTTTTGCAAAAACTTAAACTCTATCTAAAGCACATGTAAAATAAATAGCTGGCCATAGTAGGTGCACTTAGTGACAGTGATCATGGCCACATTGTAGAGAGCAGTATGATTTTGCTCTGAACTTCTCAGTAATGTACCAAATGTGAACATGGAGGGATCTGTCCTCCAGCACTGTTCCTTTGCTCAAAGGCTCATATCTTTACTTCCAGTCAAAGTGAACAAATATAATACTGCTGTCTTTTTTTTCCCTCTAAAATAATGTCATTCCACCAAGTGGTAGAAGTGAAGAGACAGTAAGTGTTTCTCTGCTGGGCCAGGCCACAGGTCCTGGTTTAGTGTTATCATGTTATTGTGCTTGTTCTGTTACGCGCTACTGTCAAGTGCCAGGCAAAACAAGGAAAAGAAGTAGGAGTAGAGCCGCTCCTTACACCTTTCTTTCCCATTAACATCAATTTCAGTGACTTTAATCCTCTTATCAAACCTGCAACAGGGTCAGAGGTTTGAATACACACAAGCCGACTTCGAATAGCATGTTTACTGCACCTCCGTGCTCTTAACCTGACAAGGATTACTTATCTTTGGAACATGCTATGCATTTCCTTCTCGGTTTTCAATGCCTTGGTACTAAGAGTATTGCTCTACTGCATAAAGAAATCAGATACAATATTTTGAGATGATATAGGTACTTATGAGATTACTGAGTTATAATTAAATGAATTTGAATAACTTTGTATACATTTCTAATAATTACCAAAAAGATCCAACTCTATATTTACAAAGTTATACTATCTTATATTTTATGGAAGCATTGAAAATTTGAAAATGGCTATTCTTATATCTTTTCTATATTGAGATTTTGAACTAATAATATGCCTGATTCAAGCAGCTAGGTGATAGCCAAGAAAACTATTTATTTTAATCATAAAATGGTAGAGAATCATTCAGAAATAAAATATAAATATTTAGAATGATATAAAATAAAAGTATGCAAATTATGTCAACTACGTTCTTTACAATTCGGTTTAAAAGCAAGCTTAAGTGGGGTAAATGTCTTAGATACTTTTCTCATTTTAGTTGTAAAAGCCAACTTTATGTGTAGATTCTAGATACTCGAAGGCTTTGTCTTTTCATTTCTTCTGTAACATTTATTAGACAGGAATTGTAGACCAGGCTGAAGAAAGCAGTGCTGTTGGAGTCTTTAAGTGACCTGTTTGCTTGTTTTCAAAGACAAGTAGATGCTATGCTGCCCTGCTACCCTGAGAACTAATTTGGGAATTTTCTCTCATTTCACTTTCATGATTGCATCACTAGTGATAGCATTTTTAAAAAACAGGAGACCATTAAAAGATACTAGAAGAAAGTTAATCTAGATATTTTGATGGAAAGGGTTTGAATGCCTAAGAATTTTGAAAGATTTTAAAAGTTATTATTAGTACAAGAAGATCGTGATTTTTTTTTTTTTTTTTTTTTTTTTGTTTTTTTTATTACAGGTTCTCCCTTAACCCCCACCTTTCCTGAAACTTACTATTTAGACCAGGCTGCCCTTCAACTCACAGAGATCCGCCTGCCTCTGCCTCCCGAGTGCTAGGATTAAAGGCGTGCACCACCAATATCATTACTTTTATTTCTGTACATTTGTATATATCTCTTATTTTTAAACAACATACTTATTTAATGTAGTTAATGTTCTTTAACTGAAACACCAATGGGAAAGCAGGGAAAATTGTGCATACTAGTAATCCTGGCACTTGGAAGGCAGAGGTAGGAAGATCAGGAGTTCAAGTCTTAATTTAGTAATGAGTTTCAGGTTAGCCTAGGGTGTATGAGATTCTCTTTTTTTAAGGGGGGTGGAGCTGAGGAGATGGCTCAGTGGTCAAGAACACTTGCTGTTCTTCCAGAGGACCCGAGTTTGAATCCCAGCATCCACATGGCTGCTAACAACTATCCACAACTCCAGTTCCAGGGGATCTGACACCCTCTTCTGGCCTCTGCGGGGCAGTGCATGCACATGTTGCACTTATATACATGCTGGTAAAACTCATAAACATAACAAGACCAAGTTGGGGGGGGACTCAAAATAAGTGAATGAATATCTAATTAAATAAATAAATAAAAATAAGCACAGTTGCAATGTGTCTTGTACCACATGTGAACATTCTGGAAAAATGCTTATGAAAGTATGTGATAGTCTTTAATGTTAGAAAGACTTAGGTTCTTAGTATCAACTAGGAGGTTAACAGCAAGCAACTTAATACTTCTCTGAGATTGTCTATAAATAGAAATAATGCTATACTCTGCTGTGGATTATAGTAAAGTTTTAATCAATATGCCTAGAATATATCATGCAGAAATATTTCCATTACATGCAAGTAACAGTTTAATTAACTTTCTAACATCAGTCGCCAATTTAGGGATACTGGAATACCTACTGACTTTAAAGAATAGAAAGAAAGAGTAGAGAGATCAAGAACACTTGAGTAAAAGCATCCACTAGCAGAACATAAGCAAATAGAATGTAGAAAATGTCCATCAGAATTAAACCCTTGAAAGTATCAAATTCCCCGACCCAACTATAAAATCTTAGTCCCTCACTTTTAGGTCTGACTGCCTCTTTCCTGTTATTATTCTCTTTCTCCCCTTGATGTTTCTCCCAGTGCTAATCTTGTAGATGCGTAGTGATTGATGACACCTTCACCTCAACACTTAGAACAGAACCTGGCTCATCTTAGGTGCTCATGAGAATTTCCTAAGTAAGAGAAAACCCTCAGCCCAAACCTGCCAAAAGAAATGAGTGAGAGAGTGATATGCATTTTTATTCATTGCCGTGTACTTGGGTGAATATTAGCATTGTCTTTAGTATTAAAGGGAATTTGAGAGCAAAGGAGTCACACGACCAAATATAATAATGAAAGGCTATAAAAACATGTTTTAGATTTACGCTGTTTGCAGGAACACCTGATGAGTTCCCTAAGTCTGTATTCTTCTTAATTCTGTTATCTCCCTAATTAGTCTGTTATTGCTTCATAAGGAAAAACACTAAAAATCAGTTTTGAAAATTTTGAATATGTGCATATTTGATTTCACAGCTAACTTGATTTTTAAACATTCAATTCTCACGCAGTTTTCTTCATTCATACTTCCATTGATATGCATGAAACAATCTCATTCTGTTCAGAGTTCCTAATTTTCCAAAGACCCAATCAAGTGACAGCCGTAGCAGCAGAACTTCAGACATATAAATATGAAAATTTCCCACTCATTTCATGGAGTAAAGAAGATGCATACATTGAGTACATTATCCATTTATCACAAATATCTTAATAATATAGGTAACAGAATTTTAGGAGACATTTAAAATGTTTTACAGAGAAAAGTGATGGATGACTCAGGAGAGGAACGATTTCTCAGTGAGTGTGAATTGGAAAAAACTAAGTCGTAGAAGCTTGGACTGTAACAATTTTTTTTAACATGGTGGGCCATAGATAATATCAGAAATTGAACAGAAACATTGGTTTCAAATTTCAATAAGTTCAAATTTCAGTAAGCCCTTCAACAATATATATTATGATATCATCTCCTAGAATTTACTGAAGAGCTAATGAAACACTTTATCCTTAAATTAGCAAGAGTCTTTCTTTAAAAAGTAAGATATCTTAAAAATTCTTATTTTCATAAAGCAATAGTTTCTTAATGCTCCCTGTTTATAGAACAAAATATGAAGTTTTGGTTTAAGAAAAGTCAATGAACTTTGCAGTTTTCTAAGCCAGTGAAAAAAGCAAATTAAGATGCAAAACAGCTTATGTAGCCCAAGACATGCATTCCTTTTACTTGTTATTTTATTAATTTTTATTTTACTATTAATGTGAGTGAGGCTGTATTTTACATCAATTTTTTAAATTTCAGACAATAAACCTGAAATGTTCCCTCTTACCTCATTTTGTATGAAGAAACCATCAATAACAGCTTATTAATTGCTTGAGGCTACATTTTAAAAAGTACATGTATTTTATCAATTCATGCCCCGAACTTTAAAAGTTTACTTTTTCTAGTGATACCCTGGAATGATATAGTCTAATTAGGTTTATTCAAAATGATAAGCATAATATCAAATGCAGTGATAGTGGATCATAGTAATGGAAGTTGTTCTTTCCCCACGACCTTCTCCAATATTGTTCAATAGAAAGCCTAGGCTTTTTCATTAAAAACTAACAGTTTAGATATTTTTTTCTGAACATCCAACATTTGAATAAAAACATCAACTTTGCCAATTTTCATTTTTGTCCTACTTTTAGTTTCTTCTCAGTATACTAACCTAGACAAGGAAAGAATAGTCCTTCCGGGGCTTCCTCCGAGGCCCATCTTCCCATGTTCACGTTTGTTCTCCACTCAGCTGGTTTTTATTTGGTTTCTTCTCTGTAAGTCTTCTAGTCCTCCCAATGGAACAGGACTCAGGACGATTCCACAAGCCTCTCCTTGTTCATTGCCTACATCTGTTTCCCAGAAAACCCTAATGCATCCTGTTCTGTCAGTCACAGGATCCTTAGCTAAGTCCAATACAATACCATTTACTTGTCTTTGGGACCAAGGCACTCACACATTTGTCCTCAATGTCTCACCATTAGTCATATTTGCCTGTTGTCCCCCTCTGCTGTTAGAAGGCATGGTCACTCTATGCTCCTGTGCAGTCCTTATTAAACTTGAGATAAGAAGGTGGCTTTATCTCCATCCTCTCAAGTGGGCATGGGTCTCTTACCCTGCAAAGATTCTCTTCAAATGAATGTGTAATCAATATAGTTGTGGACTTGAGAAGAGTTTGTAAAGATCTTAAAATATGTTTCTTTAAAAGTCTGCATACGAAGTTTTGGAATGTTTTATCAATTGATCTTAGCAGTAAGTTGAAATTTTTATGTTAATCACTCTCTACATTTGTCAAAAGCATTAATAACCATTATTATGAAGCAAAGGAGGTGAACAATTCCTTTCTTTGTGTGTGTCTGCTGTATAAATATGTGACTTCACATTAGCTTAGTCACACCAATCACCTGAGTTACTCATCACAACTCTGTGGGTTGGAAAATAGCAGCCCCAATTGATAGAGGAGAAGAGAACATTTCAAAGGGTACAATTTTAATTCAAACTGTTGCCATGGAAATAGAAACACCTAACTGTAAATCACGTTCTCTTCATTCTACATGACCAAAGGTGAGATCCATACCTGCCTTTGCTAACATTAGCATAGACTTGCCAAACCTATGTCTCAAATGAGTGTCTCCCTTCAGTAGACTTCAATGTTAAAACTGTCCAAGGCAATTTCTGCTACCTATAATTATGAACATAGCACAATGCTTTGCTATTTCACTGATCTAAAATACTATTGAAAATTGTTTTTCAGACAATAGACTTGGAAGGTTTCAAGTTATTCATGAAGACATTCCTGGAAGCTGAGCTTCCCGATGATTTCATTGCACACCTTTTCATGTCATTTAGCAACAAGTTTCCTCATTCCAGCCCGATGGTGAAAAGTAAGCCTGCTCTCCTTTCAGGTGGTAAGTATAGTGACTTTGAACTGTGTGCACAGTAAAAGATCCCAAAAGCTAAATGAGTACAACTGTCATAAAAGAAATAACAGTTGATTGAAAATTGTGATTTTATATATATATATGTATATAAAACTTACAGTTGACACTGTACAGTGAATAAGGGTTCACTGATGGTTGAATAAATCTTTAGAAATGTCCCCAATATAATACAAATTATGGAAAATATGATTTATTATTTTCTATCATTTGACATAGAAGTCCGTGTTTCAGTTATGGTTTTAAGAGGTATTGTCATCAAGTTTGGAAAAACGTTCTTTAAAACAACTGGACAAATATTAATAGCTGCATATTTGAAAATATAATCATGAAGCACTTATGCATGTTAAATTTATGTTTAAAATCAACTGTGGGAACTACCAATATATGTTTATAGTCAGGTATGCTAGCTCAGAAGCTTCTTGATTTTTTTCTTTAAGTGTCTGTACCATACATATGCTTGGATCTTTTGTTATGGGTAGCTTTTCAGAGATGCATAAGACTATTAATGACTGTTGGTAATTATATCAAGTTCATAGAATCAGGAAAACAGAAATTTTACTCTATTCCTCCAAAGTATGCCATTGTTTAGAAGGTGATGAAAGGCTGAAGAAAGATAGAACTCAAAAAGGAGTTGGCTAGGACCATAGGAAGCCTTTGTGGTCACTAGGTTGGAAGAACCAGAGTTTGGGACTGGGTGGAGCACAACTCTAAGATAAGAACAGTGTTTCTAGAAGAGTTACTTGGAGTCTTTTGTGTAGATAGAACTTTCTGGCCAACTTACTCATATCAGAAGTTCAGTTGAAGCCTTAGCAGCCCTGGACCTCACACCTCTGCTGGAATACACAAGGACAGCTGCGCATCACCAAGTAGCAGGAAGCTCTTCTGTTTCTTAGTGTCAATTACAGCTGGGGACAGGAGACCATTGCTACTGGAACCCTGTGTGTGGTAAGGGATGAAACACTAAGGAGATTGGTTTAGCAAGAGCCTGTCCTTGCCCTTCATTCTGCCTTGTCATCTCTAAGCAGTGTCCTCTTTTAGGAACGATGGAAATCCAGTTCACGATGGGGCAATGCAGTCTTAGAAGAGCATTCTATTACTTGATCTCAATAATCTTCTGATTCCTGATTTGGGAACAAATTTTACTTGTGTGGTATCTATTAACATTCTCTGTATTAAGGATGAGACATTCTAAAAATAAAGGCAATCAACCCATCACATGGTAACAAAATAACTCATTTAAAAATACTCTTTTTATTTTTTTTGAAATTTATTTTTATTTTGTGTATTAGTGTTCTGCCTGCATGTATGTAAGTGCATGTCATGAAGTGCCTGCAGAGGACTGAAGAGGGCATTGTCTGATCACCTGGAACTGGAGTAACAGACAGTTGCTAGCTGCGATATGGGTGCTGGGATTCAAACCTAGGTCTTCTGCAAGAACAGCCAGTGCTCTTAACCACTGAGCCATCTCTCCAGCCCCTAAGATAAATTCTATATTTAAAAGCAAGAACAAGGCCAGGCATGGTGGCACATGCCTTTAATCCCAGCACTCAGGAGGCAAAAGCAGGTGGATCTCTGTGAGTTCAAGGCCAGCCTGATCTACATAGTGAGTTCCAGGCCAGCTGGGAGACCCCATCTCAAAAAAACCAAAAAAAAAAAAAAAACAACAACAAAAAAAAAACAAAAAAGATTTTGTAGTGCAGTATTTTTTTCTGTTGTTTCAAGCCTTGGTGTCTGGCTTCCTGGAAGATAGCTAGATACTCACATCTGCATCCGTGTCTGTTGCTATATTATAGATTACTCGGCCTCTTAAAAACTTCACTATGGAATTCTGAGAAAATATGAGGAGAAAACATATTTTAGTGTCATTATGGAAATCATTTGGATATTAAAAAATCCCTGAAAAAATGCTCAAGGGCCCCAGGACAGCCACTGGTCTAGAGAGTACCAGTCTAAGTGCCACAGGCTGTGATGCAGAGACACCAGGAGAGAAGCGAGAAGGGCAATCACTGCACTCTGAGAAGGACAAACAAAATTTCGGAAATAGAATTAAGAAAGAGGTCACTGAAGCATCAACAAGCCAAGCAGAAGAGATCTGATGATGAACCTGCATCATGATAAACATAACTGTGGTGCTTCTGGGTTCAAAACGATATCCACTTTTTCAAGTAGAACCATTGTCAGTACAAGCTTAAAACCAAGCTTCCATAGGATAACCCTTCATGCTATGTGACAACTAGCATGCTCACCATAATTGCCTTCTTCTATTTTGACTTTCTTTTTTAATATTTTATTATTTTTATTTTATGTGTTTCAGTGGATTGCCTGCATGTATGTAAAGTATTGCCTACACTTATTTAAGTACACCCATTTCATTCAATGCCTGCAGAGGACAGAAGAAGGCATTGGATTCCTAGAACTGGAGTTAAGATTGGTTGTTAACTGCCATGTGGGTGCTGGGAATCAAACCCAGGGCCTCTGAAAGAGCTTCCAGTGTTCTTAAATGCTGAGTCATTTCCCCAGCCCCCATTTTGACTTCTTTAGGTAATACCCATACTATGATGGACTCAGAAGGCCCATTATACCTGCCATTTTATTATTTTATTTTATTTTATTTTATTTTTATTTTTATTTTTGGTCTTTTTGAGACAGGGTCTCCCTGTAGCCCCAGCTGTCCTGGAACTCACTATGTAGACCAGGCTGGCCTTGAACTCACAGAGATCTGCCTGCCTCTGCCTCCCTAATGCTGGGATTAAAGGCATGCACCACCACGCCCAGCCAACCTGCCATTTTATTTTTAATTAGTCTGAAGAGTTAAGTCTTTAAAGTTTGCCATAGGAGTTGCATGATATGCTAGAATGAACATCTTTTTTGAGACAGGAACTTCCTGTATCCCTACTGGTCTGAAATTTGTTATGTAGAACAGACTGATCTCAGCCTCACAGAAATCCTGCCTCTGCCTCCCGAGTGCTGGGATTAAAGGTTGGTGCTTTCAGGCCCAACATGGATTGATTATTTTTAAAAGGGGACATTGGTCTACAAATAAAAATTCACCTGAGCAGCAATGCCTTTGGATTTTAAGGAAACAAAGCAAATGTATGTTTCTGTCATTCAAATGAATTTATATATCAAACATGGAAAATAATGATTCTAGTAAGTTAACTGGTTTTATAAGAAACTCAAATCTCAAACTTTATTTTCTTCTGATAGAATATATTAGTACAAAATAGAAGATGTCATGTTTACTAGGTATAAAAATCAAATCAGTTTACAATATAGGGGGCATATAAGGAAGTAGTTTTCTTCAAATTGTATCTATTTAGGGCAACCTGGTATTCTCCATTGATGAACTTGAAGGGAATAAGGAGTGTGAAACCCTCATATAGCAATAATGAATTAACTCCAATTCTTTCAAAACTTAACCTCTGCACTTCAGAACTGAGTGCCTAGTACACTTCCCAGGATTATTTCTGCCTTATATTCTTTGTAGAAATACCTTTAATGGGGCTGGAGAGATGGCTCAGCGGTTAAGAACACTGGTTGTTCTTGCAGAAGACCCGGGTTCAAATCCCAGCATGCACATGGCAGCTAATAACTGTCTACTGTCTATAACTCCAGTCCCAGAGGATCCGACAGCCTCTTCTGACCTCTGTGGGCATTGCATGACATGGGAGCACTTACCTACAGGCAATACATACATACACATAAAATAAAAATAATAATTACAATTTAAAAAAATAAAAGAAATACATTTGATAATTTTTCTTGAATAATGAATATTGGGTACAATAAAATTTTCGAGGGCTGAGGAATCCCTGGCTCAAGAATCAAAAATATCAATGTGTTTTTACCCAGAACCTTGTTCTACAATCATATACCATCTACACAAGATGTAATCGAGGATGGAAACTCTCAGGTTTCTTCTAAACAGGAAATTGCTATAATGTACTATTATTACATCCGTGGGACTTCACTTTATTTATTAGAAAAATGCCAACAGAAGCATGAGAGCTCTTAACTATTATGAGTGTGAACAGAAAAAGACCTCTTTAGTGAAATAGAAACTCAAAAGGAAACAATTCGTATTATCTATCCATCTATCATCTGTCTGTCTGTCTTATCATATCTATTATCTACCTACCATCTATCTATACCTATCATCATTTATCATATCTATTATTATCTATCATCTATCTATATATCTATCATCTATCATCTACATATGGTGGGAAAATAGAGGACATATTATAAAAGTAAAATGTTCATTTTTATTGAATAAAAATTTAAAGATTATAGGTAGTAATGAAATTTGTGTAGGAACACTTGTACATATAAAGCTATGCTTTGTTTGATTTGGAAAACCTAATGATCATCTGGTATTTTGTGAAATGGAGAATTTAATTTTGTGAAAAGCTTCTTTGAAATCTAAGTCGCACATTACTTATTGATAACTATTTTGGCTTTGGATTTGTGAACCATTCCTAAGGCAGTGTGAATTCAACTCTCTCCTACCTCCTCCTCATCATAAATGCCAAGTACCTAATGCTGATCCAAAATCCAGCTTCTGATTTTACTTCCATTCTAAGAGTCCACCACTTGAATTACAGGTATTACACTCTCCTTACAGACATTTCAATCCCTTAGATCTTTTCTTTTACTAAAAATGCCTCACAAACGCTCAACTATGAATCAATACTATGATCTCCATTTTCAGGCACTATAGTTTCAATACTGAGTATACCCAGAGAGAAATTTTATAAACATGCAGATTGTTGCCACTGCAAATGTGCCTTACCCTGCATTTATACACCCTGGACATTGCTACAATTTTAGAAATGTCTTTTCGAAAAAAATCATTTACTATTGACACTATCTTCTAGTTTAATTTCATTATTAAGCTTTGCAAAGTCTTCAAGTTATTCAGTTTCAACCTTCTTATCTTATGACATATTTTTTTCCACATCATATAG